AGCCCGTTTCACTCAGTAAAACCCATATTTTATATCGTGTTTAAAACAACCATAAGTTATACTCTCAATTATTACATATTAATCTCGTGGATATCAGAGCTTCTTTTTGCACCCAATCATCAACATTTTAAAATGCAAACTTAAACCACAAAAATAAAGTTCACACGATATTGTATGATTTTATTTAACGCTACAGCTGAAGGTGAGTTTAAATCCAAGTTTTTTAAAAGTGGATAAAATCACATGTTTTAGGTTAACAAATGAAAAGTTTGTGATGCAAAATATTTATAAAATCATCTGGTTTTGTGATTCAGGATGAAAAGTTCACCTTCACGCCTGAAACAGTTTTAAATTAATCACATAGAGAAAAGCAAAATCATCCAGATTTAGAGCAATGACATTTTTTCTTTAATAATCCTGAATTTCAGTTGAATAAAATAAAATTAAGCGTGTTTTAAACACCGAGAAACTCAAGAGCAGCTTTTCAAATACACAGTTTAAATAATATTCTAAATTAATATCACATGCTTATATATAAAAATATATGAAAACATTTTTTAAATTTAAAATACTTTTTAAAATAGCCTAGTGTGATCTAATGAAACATCTGGATAATTTAGTTATAAAAAACAAGACTTTTAATGCATCAAATTGAGTTAAAAAAATCAAACAAGTCCATAAAATTCACCATCTTTTCTCAGTTTTCTCCTCTGACCAGCAGGAAAAATAACTAAAAAGCCTGTTGAACATCATCCAAACTGGTGATTTCTGGATCCCTTTAATGTGAATTTAACTTGAAATATGTCAGATTTTAAAAATAAAATTCTTTTCTATGCATTCTCAAGTAAGTAAATTTTTTCCAAACTGACTGGAGATCAGAGAGAATTGTGTTTTCAGTGCTTCGCTGCTGGGCTGCAGAAAATCACAAGTCATGCATGCAGCTCTGCAGAATCTTAACCCACAACTAACGATTCATTTAAGTTATTAATTTTGTCTCGAAAAACTCACAATCATCTATTGTTTACTCAGACTCCCGTTAATTCCATCTACCCTGATTTATAATTCAATCAAACAATTCAAAACAATAAATAGAAGACAACACAAAGTTGATATCTCAGAAGTAAGGAGAACAGACGTCAAAATATGAAGGAAACAAGAAAAGAGTGATGTTTAATGTCTTTACTTATATTTGGCAAAAATAAATATCATTTCCAATTCACAAATGATTAAAAATGTGGCTTTAAATACTAGAAAATGAACTGATTTCCTTGTTCTTTCTGACACTTAAGGTCTTAGTTAACCTCAAAGATATTTCAAAGAGTTTCTTTTTACAAACACAAACTGTTTTTTTAACTAATAAAAATATCTTTCTTGACTTTTAAACATTCTGTTGTTTAACTGAGATGTATATTAAAATGAATCTATTAATTGGGTGTTTCTGCAGTATCTTCAAATAAAAAAAGTTAAATAAAATTTTAAATTATGTGATATTCTTGCACAATTAGAAAAAACTGCTTTCAAAACACTCCCTAACTCTGGAATACCTGTGGCTGATTATATTTCTTTTATTTTTTTAAAGGTTTTACACCAACATGTGTCTCGTGTCACCACATGAGATGAAAAAAACCATTGCGCGCGCACACACACACACACACACACACACACACACACACACACACACACACACACACACACACACACACACACACACACACACACACACCTGTAAGAGCAGCCTTGATGTGTTTTAGCCTTTTTGCTTCCACTGCTGCAAAATAACCTGTCAGAAAACTTAGAAAAATGAACAAAATTTGAGTGAAAACCGAAGAAAACTGCAAAAACTTAAGGAGGCCTGAAAAGTCACAGATTGTCTCCTGTAATTCCAATTCTCCCAGACTAAACTCAGCTGAAACAGAAGCGTGAATTCTCAGCTGCACATCTGACAAGTCCTTTGAGCTCAGAGGGTGATGGAGAGCGGCTGGCCCTTTTCATGAAGCACCAGCCAAATTTATTCAAGCATCCTGCAAACAAAAGAGGATTCCTGCAAACTCCAAACGGCGTTTTCATGCATTCACTGAGAGCTGCAGATTAACTGTTGTTGAAATGCATTTCTGGAATAGTTCTGCAGCATAACTTCATGTTCCAGCACAGCCCATCATCTCATTAAGTTCTCATTCAAAATGACTCTGATTTGAATATTGGCGCGACACAGGGGTGAAAAGGGTCTGACTCAAAGCATGCACATAGAGAAACACACACTAAGCTGTTTTGTGCAGAAAGCTGGAACAACTCTGCAATAAGAGGTGCACCATGATGTTAGATTCGTCTTCTTGCTGCAAAAAATATTTATTTTACATAAACTTCCACCAAACAAGCGTCCCCCTGACTGCTCAGTGAAGCGCTGCAACGTCTGGATTGGCAGCAGTAAAACAAAGAGGCGATGGTGAGGGTGGTTTACTGCTGTCAGCACGTCTGAGACACAGTTTGACCCAAAGAAGTCAAAAGACTGTCTGCTTCTCACGCCTTAATGGAGACCTGAACCCAATGGGTAGAATAAAAACAACAAAGGCTGAAAATTTTGTTTCTCATAGTAGCAATATGTTTGATGTAAACAAATACTTTCTTACAAATTACACTTTTTATTCATTACATGTCAGTAACCAATGTCTGGAGGATTTGAAAGTAAAGAAAAGGCTGATTTACATTAAATATGATCATAATATATAATATCATCTGAGCCATCGTTGACGAGATAAAAATAGTGCTTTTATTTAACATTTAGCCTGTTTGTTGAACATTTTATTGAGATTTTTGTGTTTTTTAGTCTTCTTCAGTGCCTGACTGGACATTTCAAGCCTTCATTTGAGTGTCCATCCTCACAGCTTTGATTATATTTCAATTTAAAGGAGTCTAGACTACTTCAAAGAAAGGAACTTCTCTCTAAAGATTATGTTTTAAGGCAAACTTTTCAAGAGAAACGTTTATTAATGAAACATTCCTGACTTTTTTCGGACTGATATTTAAAAAGATTCTGCCAAGCTGCGTTTAATCATTACAATTCTACAAATCTTTTTTTTTTAAAAAAAAAAAACATGAGAAATGTCCATAAATTAGCATATTTACTAGCTTTTTAGGCTTTAAAGGTGCATGAGCGCTAAGGGTGGTCTCCTAGCAACGAGGCGCGTGCAGGTGTCACCGAGTGAGTGCGCGCAAGGGCGTTGTTGGGTCTCTTCTGCTGAAATAAATGTGAAATGTTAAAAAGCAAACTTTATAAATGCGTGTCTAATCGTGCTACAGACATTTGTAGCCAATAGTTTTGCACTTTAGTGCATTTTAGTTCAGATTTAAAATTTCTGCCTAAAACTGTCAGTGTTGTGCTGTTGTCAGATAAAAACTCTGCACTGCATTTGAATTTAAATCTGCCATCGCTATTGGCTGAGAGGTACCCTAGAATGCTAGCTGGTACCATGTGATGTCACAATGACGTTGTGAGCCTGTGTGTGTGTTTGTGTTTTTGTTAGCGGCTCCGCCCTCTCGGTCTGCTAGGCAACAGGATTTGTTCCATTTTTCAAACAGGAAGTCGTGGAGTAAGACTCTGGTAGGGGGTGACTTGCTCTTTATTAAATCAGCGCCTGACGCAGGAAGTTAGTTTTGAACTAGACTGAAATCTAAGTTCATTCACAGAGATGAACTTTGACCTTTTGCACGCAGCTTAATGCCAACCCGATTCATGTTTATGAAGCCATAAACAGAATAAAAACCAGTTTTACTTATAAAATGCAGACAAAAATACTTGATGTTTACATTTCATGAGTATTTATTTCTGGAACAATAAATAAATTAAATAATCAAATTAAACTTCCATCAAGCTGTGACCCTTTGATCTATGACTATCCTCTTCACAAAATCACAGCAATATGGTTTTAATTGATTATTAATGATGCATGACTTTTCTCTAAAACACCAAACAATAAACCAGTGAGATAATTCTTGATGTCATGATAATCAGCAGCCTCTCCACACTAAAGGCCATTCTTTAAAAAAATTACTTATTTGCTGTTTATGCAAAGTCGTCTTTTAATGGAGAGGTGCTTCAAAGCAAAGACTATTTTTACAAAACTGCTCAGCACATATGTGATTCACGGTGTGAACACAGAATTTTCACTAGGAACAATCTCAATGAGAGAGAGCTACTCACACTGATTCATGTTGGTCTGTGTAAAACAATGAAGACAGTCAGGAAATACATGAGTTTAAATTTATGTCTGTCTTTTTTGGGGATTCCTTATTGGAATTGTCTTCCTCCTTTTTAATCTCTGACCTCTGAATAGAAATAACAAACCTGTTAAACTCAGTATTAATACTTTCATGTATAGAAAGTTTGAAGATCTTATAAAGACCAACGTCCAGATCTAAAAGCATGCTTAAAAGTTTTTATTCTTCTTTTAGTTGCAATAATATAATATTTAATGTCACAATTAAATGAAGGCTTGCAATTGTTTGTTGTGTGTTTTACTTTAGTTCATCGCGTTTCAGTGTGAGAAACGTTTTCTAATCTCCACCTGTCTGATCTGGATATTTCTATTCTCAGAAATAAAACTGTAGTACAAACAGAGCAAACGCGATCCACGCGTAATCTTGGTGCGTAAAATACGCAGCGCCAGGCGCAAACTCTCCGCGGCAGCAGCAGCTAAAACAGGACTTTAAACACTCATTTTCTCTAGTATGCAGGGCTACAAGTGTATTGTGATCAAATATGATATTTGGAAAACAAAATGAACATCCGGGGTTTAAGCACGCTGAAGGGTGAGATCACTGATGGATGTGATGGTGCACTACATGCGTCTGTTGGGGGGCGTGAGAGGCGCAGCCATAGGTCCGTGCCATAATTGCATTTTTCCTCTTGCATAATATCAAAAACCTGGGAGGGTGGGAACACTCTGATTCACAAAGGGGGCGGGACTTGGACGCCGTATATGATTTGGACAAATGAGACGCGGAGCCACTCGGAGACGAGTCTGGTGGAGATGTAGCCGTTCGAGCGGACAGCTCCGAGGAGCTGTGGACGTGGAGGACCACGCGCCAAGAGGAAGATAAAGAAAAAAATCTATTGGACCCCCTGGATGCGTAAATGGACCGGGCCGGCGGGACGCCACAATGCGCTGTCGACATTCTCCACAAAGCTGTGTACCGCGCGCGTGGACGCGCTCATTCGTCTCCGGAGGGACCACCGCTTAAACCCAGAATAACCCGCCGAACCGCACCCGCGGAGAAGGTAGAACTCCTTCATTCGTGCACTATTTAAAATTGTCATAATAATATAAAAATATGTTGGCATTCAGGCGGATTTTAAACAGAAAACGAGAGCAGCAGAGATGGTTCAGTCTGACGAGCTCAGCCAAAGAAGCAGCATCATGTTTGGTTTCAGCCTTACGTGGATGTAATTCTTTCACATTTACAGGAAATGAATCTTGTTTTAGTTCAGGTGAGTTTAGGGTGCAGCCGCATCAGCATCTGCAGCAGAGACGTGCACTTTCACTAGTAGCTTCAAAACACTTTAGATTATTCAGTTTATCCTCAATATCTCTGCTCTGGGTTCAAATTAAAGAACAGATCATGTTCTCTGACGCGTCCCAACAGATTAAAACACCTTAAAAAGATGAAATCATGTTTGTTTAGTGATGCTGACTCCAGATCAGCCATCTGTCACCGCTCTGAGCATCATAAATAAGTGGATGTTGCGCCATTTATCTAACAGAAAAAACAGATGCATGTTATTTTCACTCTTCATTGCATTTCTTTCCTAAATTTAGGATTGTGCTGTTGCAGATGTTTGTCTCACTTGCTGCGCTGGTGTGTGACCTTTCAAAACACTTCTTAAATTCCGCTTGGGTGTTATCAACTTAGAAAACAAGCTGCACTGAGGGGTAAAAATTTACAAATGAGGGAAAAATAAATTAACACGTTAAGAGCAATAGACTACGGCTACTAATGATTTCATTTTTGGGTTAGATTTACTCTTTTTTTAAACAATAACAATACATTTCAGCATTCTTCTCTTTATTATCCAACTTCTTGGTGCGTTTTTATCATAAGAATGCGTTAAAAACATCTCGCACGTGCGTGCGTGATCCAACAAGTAAACAATTAATCTGAATATAGTTTAAAGTTGAGTTATAAGGTTCTGACAGTGATGCACAGCTGTTCCAACAGCAGTTCAGCCACCTGAAGGCCGCTGGGCTGCAGCACCATCCGTGCGTCCATGGAGCCTCGACGCTGCAGAGTCAGGGAAGCTGCAGGTGCGAAATGGACCGAGTTTGGGCCAGAGAGTGACCCACTGGGCAGATTCTCCACTCAGGGAGCTTCCCAGGGATTCTCCAGGGGGAGAAACTGAAATTGTTAAATTAATTCCGCCTTGATTGACGCGTAATTGTCCTTTATTTTTCCTCCTTTAGGTCATCTTTTATAGTTTAAACCGCAGAAAACGAGGATCGCCTCCAACGTCCAGGTGAATGTGACAGATTGCACGCACGCACACATGCACGCACGCACACACTGCGATGACTCTGCATTTCGCTTTAAGCTTCGGCACGTTGCAGCCATCATAAACATCAACTGCAGAACATTTTCTTGTGCAAAACACATTAAAAACTTTATTATGACATTTTATGTAAAATCAGAAGTTTAATATAAATTATTTTCATCTTAATCAGTTTATTGGTCCAAAATATAAAAAATGCATTAAGATAGCTTGAAAGCTGAAATGTAAAGTGTGCAATGGGAATAAAACTGCAAAAGCAACACGTGGCAGCAAGATCTAAAACAGAAAAATGAATAACAGCTGTAGAGATAAATAAGCTTATTTCGTTTTTAAATGACGTCATATGTAGAACAAAAATACACTCTCAGCGGAATTGTTGCGATTTTTAACAGAAATAATAAAGATCAATTAAAATATTAGGAATAAATTAATGGTTAAAAGAATAAAAGCAGCTTGTTTGGGTGTTTGTGAGTAAATAAATCGTGATGCTGCCTGAAGACACAATTTGACCTCCAATGATGTTTGTGGCTCAGATCCAACATATGATTTCCTCTGACTAACAGGAATGTTTCAGATAAAACAAACATACAAAGAAGCTCATTTTATTTTATTTTATTTAGTTTAGTTTTATTTTATTCTATTGTATTTTATTTTATTTTATTTATTGAATTTTATTTTGAATGACCTCCTGCAGCAACTGGTTGTTTGAGGATGGAAGCTGTGGTCCATTTTTTACCCTGTTGTAAAGAAAAACATCGTGTGTGTGTGTGTGTGTGTGTGTGTGTGTGTGTGTGTGTGTGTGTGTGTGTGTGTGTGTGTGTGTGTGTGCATGTGTGCATGTGTGTGTGTGTTAGCAGCGAGTTGTGATGACTAATTAACACACACAGCCAATGACGTCATTTCCCTCTGTTGATGAAAGCTAAATAAAAAACTTATCTTAAATTATATGTTTACATTTGTTTTCTGTCCACCTATAAAAACATGATACAATTGAAAAAAAATGCTTGAATTATTACATTTGAATTCAAAATGTTTTATTTTCTCTCTGACAAAATATTTCAATATAAAACATTTTTTAATCATTTAATTAGATTTTAAATATTCATGTCATAAAAATTTAATTCAGAATATAGACAAAACTAAAAATGATCTTTTCATGGGTTTCTCGTATTTAAATGCTGTAAAATGATGAAATCTCTTTTTAAATACATTTAAATATTCTCATCAGTAGTAGCAGGTTCACATTTAACAGACTCATTATGACTAAATAATCAGTTGTGCTTCACAGTGAAGTCCTCTAACGACAGGCTTTTGAGTTTCTTTTATAATTGGATGCTGTGTGTGTGTTTTTCCTTGCCACCATCCCCCTTTAGTCTCGCTTGTTTTTCATCCAGAGTTGCTTTTATGTGATCAGTCATCTGTTTGCTAATTCATATCTTCATTCATTTACACCTCCGACTACAGTTTAGCACGAAGTCCAGAGGAAACCATCTTTTCTGTTTGGGTGAGCTGTCCCCCTGCTGTTTGTCCTCACAGGTGCTCCTGAAGACTCGTCACTCATGTGCTTCTGCTGCAGGCCAGAGGGGTTGTCTGTTATCTTTGGTTATCTAGCTGTATGAGTGACGTACATTCTTCATAAAGCTAGATAACCGAAAGTAACAAGAATCCCATTACATGTCTGCACGGGAAAAAAAGAAAACAAGCAGAAGGAGAGGCAGTGGAGGACAGATGCTACAAACGAAGTGAAGGTATGATGCTGCGTTAAATAAGGGCTGATTTTTACAAAGAGGAATTAAGAGATCAGAAACAGCAAAATCCACTCAGATCTGCAGTTTTTATTCTTTCGCTTCTTTTAAATCAGAAAAAATCACTCAAAACCTCCAAAACATTGTTTGTTTTTGTAAACTATGAACTCAGAGTTGTGTGAATATAAAAAAAATGACAAGCTGAGCAAAAATAAATCAGCATACGAAAGTGTTCCTGCAAAAAATGATTAAAAACAATGCTCCTAAAAACCATCCCAGACCTTAAAAGTAACATGCATATTTCTGCAAAAATAAAATACACGAATACAAAAGTTATATTTACAAAAAACCTGCAGCTTTTTATTAGAAAAAATAACTACAATTGAGTACTTTTCCACTGCAACCCCTCCTTAAAACATCTCTCAAATATAAATGGTAAATGGTTGATTGCCTGTATTTGTACAGCGCCTTCTTAGGGTTCTACAACCCCCCAAGGCGCTTCACGACAAAAAACAACAAAATCAAATGCTACGTCTTGCGTTAACATTTTCAGATTTCACACAGATTTTTCAGACGAAGCACAACAGGTTTGTTTACAGAAATAATGGAACGTTCTGTCTAGCTGGATCATGCATCCATACATAAACTTTCCACGTGAATATTAATTCAGGCTCACTTATGCTGCCTTTCACGAAGCCTCAAAATGAGCCTGCAGGTCTTCCTGGCGTTCAGAGAGAACGTTCTGTAGAGGCAGAGGTGGAGACAAAACAAAGACCATCTCGAGAGGCAATTAGTAGCACTTTGCCTCGTTTTGGAGCACCTCCACTCCAGCTGAAGCTATTCTGCAGCTGATTTTTCTCCTCCAACGTACAAACGATGCAACTGAGGCTTCAAGGTGGGCAGTTAATCAATCCATCTTTAGCGTGCTACAACTTAAATTCTGCAAAATCCCACGTGAAATTTGTTGGAACTGAGTGAAAAAGGGAATTCCTGTGATGTGTGGCTCTGAGAATGAAATTGCATCACTCTTTTTTTTTTACATTTCTCAGGGTTTTAGAGCTTTTTATCCCAGTTAGCATAAATTAGCAGGTGAGGAAACATGTTGTGATAACCCTTTACCTGCATTTTTATCATATTGGGCTCCATAAACTAAACATTTCAAAGCAAATGGCTGCAAAAATCATTGATTTGTGCACCATTTTGCTCCTAATGTGAATATGTTTAATAAAATGTAACAAAACTGAAATATTTGGCTAATTTTTAGTCAAATAAGTCATTTATTCCCTGATTAAAGGTGATGATGTATTTTATTTTGACCACACACCTCAAAGCGACTCTGTACATGCTTAGTCCACCTCCTTACACCCCCTCCCTCCCCCATTCATTTAATTTCATTCTTTCTGGTTTTCTCCCAGCTCAGATTCTCAGATGGTTGGTTCTGATTTGTATGCATTTGCATAATGAATGTCATTTGCATGCTCAGGGGCAGACCATACCATGAGAACGGTTGTGTGTGTGTGTGTGTGTGTGTGTGTGTGTGTGTGTGTGTGTTCATGCATGGGCACATGTGTGAGCAGTGTTTTAATTTTTCCCCTGAACAGTCTGACACAAGGAGTTGTGTCTTCCCTCCAACACTTAGTTTGTCCTGTGTGTGTGTTTTAAGGGAAAATGTACCCCCAGTGCATGTGTGTGTGTGTGTGTGTGTGTACGGCATGTAGGACAGAAATGTGACGATCATGCCGTGTGCACCCTCCTCTCTTCTCCCCGTAACCGTTCTGCGATGCACCAGCTAGAATATTGAAAATAAGCGACTCCTTCCTCAATCCCATAATCCTCCTCTTCTCCGACCCCTCCCTGTCAGTTTGTCCTCCTCTCCCGCATGGCAAGTCACAGTCCTGCCACCATCTTAGGTGCTAAGACTGGCACAAAATGGCAGCTGAGCGGGGGAACATGGACAGCCAGCGCCACACCTTCCCCCCACCTCACGTTTGCCCTCCATCCTTCTTTCCGCGCCATTGGTCGCCTCGAGACAGTGTTAATTACTGCCAGTGTGTTAATTGCACAGATCGCCCCCAGAGACATGCAGGAGGAGATCAGATAGGAAAAAAGCGGGAAGCCGGGAGCTCCTTAGCGTCGGCGAGGTGGCATTTTTAAGGGCAGCTGCGTAGCATTTCGCTGTGCCCGCCGTCACGCTGCGGAGGACGGAGAATTTACTGGAAATGCTCTGAAAATTCTTCTGCAGCGTTAATTAGAACATTTTAACGTTTTTAATTGCAAAGCGTTGGAGTTTGCACGTTTGGCAAGGTTTCCACTCGTGGGGCATTAAGGCGGTTTTCAATTCCAGGCAGCTTGATTTGATGAAGCGGGAAAAGAAAAACAACCTAGACACACACACACTCACACACAGAGCCATAATTAGCAACACAGCATCGTTCATAAATCTCCACTCGTTATCAGACTCAACAGCATTCTCACGTGAGGAACATGGCTCAAACATCATCCCGTTTGGTTTGGGATTTGTGCCTCCAACATGAGGTGTCTATTTGGGAACATCTGGGAATGGAAACCAACGTTCCGTGCTTCTGCTCTGCTGCTGTGGATCCTTTGACCCCATCACAATGGGGCCAAACTCCCGAACTGTACTTGGAGATTTAAAAAAAAAACGTGTTTTTAGTTGTTTTCTGCTTTTGTGCAACTCAAAAAAACAAAATGTGTCAGCCTAATTTACTCGTGGATTATTTCCGGATGCTATATCTAATTCTTCTAAATTTAGCCCAAGAAACGGACTCTTTAATTTATTCTGTTAGACTGTTTGGATTTTTAAAAAGTTTAAGGAAACATATTAATCTTTGTGAATAATCTCTTAATTTCAGATATTTTGAGCACCTTTGAGAAACCGTAGGGAGGGAATGAGGAGGAAGGAGGCAGCGACAGTGAGATCTCAATAGTGTGAGGCCTTCTTTGTGTTTCTCTCTGAGGTTTATTTTTTTGGGGGGGGGGGGGGGGGGGGGGGCGCAGAAGGGGGATGCCCTAAGAAAAGAAGGGAAGGGGAGAGGGTGGGGATCCCGTTGTGGACCCTCAGACAGGCTGCACATTGTCCTCCCCGATGTGTGGCGGCACTTGTGGCATGACGCCATTATTTAGGCCAGTGGAGGGAACCGGAGTCTGGAGGGCAGCTTAACCAAAACGCCAATTAGAGCCGGATCGTCCTGATTAATGGACGAGGGAGACTGGTAAACAATACCGGCCATTGTTAACCTAACCTGCTCCATGCACACACACACACACACACACACACACACACACACACACACACACACACACACACACACACACACACACACACACACACACACACACACACACGGAATGATACTTAAAAATGTACCAAAATGATTTTAGAAATAATCAACCTTCTGTTTTATCTCGTTTTAAGCATCCCTTTATTTACGACGCACATCTAATCTGACGTAAACAGCGATTCAAGTCAGTAAAATTTCACGACTCCTTTCTTCCGAAGAGGACTTTGAGTTCATATGTTAATCCCACACCGCGCCATGCTCGCCTCTGCATTTAAATACGTCCCACTTTATTGTTTTTTTAAGCATATGCACTGAATAATTAGCCACCACATTCTCCAATCAGGGGCACACCAATGTAAGGGTTTCCATGGCGACCCCATCACTTCCCCACCTCCTCCTCCTCCTCCTCCTCGGCTTGCAAACAGGACAGAGGAAAATAAAGCGTGGGAAAAAAACGCTTTGGGGCTTAGACAATGATGATGGGATGGGGGGGGTGGGGGGTGGGTGGGTTGGGGGGACTTGAAGAGCAGCTTGTGTCTAGACTGGCTGATGTAGAGTTTGGTGTTCTGGGGCTTTGGGGGCGTGTTTCTCCTTGTACGTCTGCCTTGATTGTTCGTATCAACTACACTGTAACAGAAAATGATGAATGAATGAAGTCAAACTCAAATCTTCTCCTGTAAACGAAATATTTGACTTATAGTCAAGCGTGATCGCAAATTTAAAACAAAATTTTTTTCCAACAACTTGCTCATTTCTTGGACATTTAACAACTAAGCAACTTCTGACACTTTTTAAACACCGTACACTTTTTTTTACTCATTTTTAGCTCTTCATAATTTCAGTTCAGCATAACTGCTTCTAAGTAACATACTGAGTTGCATGAGATAATGTTTTCACGCTTGTCTTTGTTCATTTGTTAGCAATAAATGTTATGAACAATCGTACAGCTTTTGGTGTAATGCTCAGACTTTCTTCATTGTCGATGACATTTGGGAATAAACCCAATGTAAGAAGCCCTCAACAACTCAGAAACGTTAGCAAACATAAAAATAACTCCCGCTCAATCAGTTTCACAGCTATCGGGCTAAAGTCTGGTGTATTTTTAGCTGAAAGTTAGCATATACGTAAGTATATATTCTCGCCACGACCCATAAACAGGGTGATGGAAATCAGTCAACAGGACCGTTAGCCTTACACCGTCGAAGAAGAAGAAGCCCCTCTATCTGCTCGTGTCTCAAAGACAAGCCCAGGTGTAAATCGCCCAAAGCTGGTACAAACAAGTGCCGTTCTTGAGTTTCCGCCATCTTTGTTTGCTCCATCACAGTTGCTAGTGCTAAATCCGCCCAATGCCCCTTTACAAACATAGAGTGCTGTGACTGGCCCAGCCTATGCTTAGCCAAGCCAATGGTAGACCTGCTAAGGCCACAATGGAGCGTGGCTAGACCAACCTGTGGAGCTAAATCTCTGCTACTACTAAGGTTTGTCTGGATTTCTAAGCTAGCTGAGAGTCATTTGTGAACACTAACTTATCTGAGATTTTAAAATATCTCGTGAGGTTTGACCAAAATGACAGAACTTCATAATTTCTCAGTATAAGGTAGGGATGCAAAGATACCACTTTTTTCCAAATCAATATGATAAGATACTTGGATCTGAGTACTCGCCGATAACGATTACCGATACCGATACTTCTACCACACCAAAAAATGCAGTGAATTGTAATACATGTTTTATTTTCTTCTCTGCATTCAACTGTAAAATAATTTAAGGTAGATAAAAAATAAAATAAATTAATAGAAATTATCTAAAAACCAAAATATTAGGTGAACAGAAATGACAAGTTACTGTGAAGCCACTTTCAGGCGACTGCATTGGTATTGGTTCTTGGTATCAGTTATTGATACCAGTATCGGTACTGGTGCATCCCTAGTATAAGCGCATCTCATGGAAACTTTAGTGGTACACGGTACAGATGCGTTGACTCCGTTTTATGGATGGACTCATTTTAATTGCATTGATCTTTTCTTTCTTTCAGGGTTTTGGATTTGAATGAAGTTGCGGGTCGTTAAACCTGCAGGATTATAGCTGCACGTAGGCATCAGAAACCACCAATCTCCACCTGGAGAAAGGAGGTGAAACAGAAGGACAGCTTCTCCAACCGCACGACTCCATGTTCAGACCATCTTGTTGATGCTCACTGTCTAGATCTCTGCCAGACTGATGATGGAAATCCACAGGAACATGAAGATCTTCACATCGCACTCATCAAGAGGCTGGACGTCAGAGAGGATTTTGTGTGTGTGCGTTTGCCCAGCTGTTCAGGAAACATCTGCACTAGAATCTGAATGTAGGTCAGAGCTGAGATGCCAAGCTGTCACTGAGATTTGTGCCACTGGAAAAAGGTAGTAAAATAGTCTTAAGAATCAAATTTGTTTGTTTATTAATTAGTTTTTGTGTTCTTGTGGATGTTAATATTTGCACATTTTTGCAAAAAAATTATGCAAACTGACATTTTTTGACAATTTGTCACAAACCTGATTATGGAGTCGATTTTATATCCTTTTGTTTTCATTTTTCATCTTTCTTTTTGACATAATCTTTCTCATATGAAATAAGTGGATAAATTGCACTAATTGATGGAAGAATCTCTGTTTACTTTTGAATGTACATCAGTATCATAAGACTGGAGCAGCCTCAGCAGTCTTTTACAATCCATTGATAATATTGCACGCTGTCACTGCAGCGAATATCTTGCTCAGTCATGATTTCTTTATATGAATCTATGCAACAAAAATGAAAATATGCAACATTTGACATATTGTTGGTAGTTTGCACATAAATGTAGTAGGTGCAGTTTTAAAAAATGGCATGTTGATGAGAACTGTGTGAATGTGAGCTCAGTGCAATGATATTTGAAGCCGATGGTGATTGTTTGCACTATTAGTTTAGGAGATTTGACTCTGCACAGGTTCCATGTTTATTACCATTTTGATTATAGTTTACGACCATAGATACTGTAAAATGTGCTGTAGATCAAGAGCAGATAAAGGCTGTTTGGAGGGAATAACTTGGTTTATTATAATTGCACTGAGTGATAATTGTCTCAGGAGTTTTAAGTTTGTTTTGCACATCATTTATTCTCTGCTATGCAACTAATTCTAATAAAAGTTTTTATGTTTACAAAGACAAAATCCTACCTGCTTGTGAATTATTTTTTCTTTTTTTTAAGCTAGAAATATAATAATCTGAATCTGACTAAAACACTTGAGTTGTGGCGTTTTAACTGAACATGGTATCAAACGCCTCAGGTTTAACAACGATGCATCGTTGTATTAAGGCCAGTAAATGAATCGGATATCAGCGTTCTGCAGAAAGCTACTGATAAAAAGGAAACAGCATCTTATTATTTCTAAACAAACAGGAACTTGTACATACGGAGGGAATCTTTTAGCAGTAATAACAGCAAAAACACATATTTTTGTGTAAAAATAATGTTTTAAATTCAAACACATTCTCGTAAGCGTAACCAAGTCACGAACAATCGCTTAAGCTAACAAAGAGCAGACAGAATAAAAAAGGACAAGTCAATTTTTAAATAAAATCAAGTCCGCAAATGAGACCAACCTCAACAAAGGTTGTCTTATTCCACTGCCAGCAAAGTTAGACTTTAATGCTTCGAAACTAGAAATTCACAAATTAATGTTGTTGTTTCTGACATGAAACAAAGATATAGTTGTGCCAAAGACCGCGGGCATGTTGAAAAGGTAACTAAACCAAAACTTACAGGAAAATAGTCTTTGAGCAGGGGCGTGTCCAGGGAGTGGCCTGGGGTAGCACATGCCACCCTTGGAATCTGATTGGCCACCCCAGGTGCCACCACACTAATTTACCTTTAAATGGGCTTTTCATTGTCCACAAAAGGCTTGGGGGTAAAACAAAAAAAGCATAACCATTGTTGCCACCCATGCACAAAGTTGTGCCTCACCTGAGCCACCCCATTTTAAAAGATCTGGACACGCCACTGTCTTTGAGGGCCGAGATTGAAGAAAACCGATGTGAGATTATGCAGGCTGAGCATGTTTGCAAAATATTCTTCAAAGCTGATTGACCAATAACAAAAAAAGAGATCATGAAAGTACACCTGGAAAAAAAAATCCTACTGAAGTTACATAGTGTCGTCGTTGTTGTCTTCCTCCGCTTATCCGGGTCCGGGTCCGGGTTGCGGGGGCAGCATCCCAACTAGGGAGCTCCAGACCGTCCTCTCCCCGGCCACCTCCACCAGCTCCTCCGGCAGGACTCCAAGGCGTTCCCGGACCAGATTGGCGATGTAACCTCTCCAACATGTCCTGGGTCGACCCGGGGTCCTCCTGCTGGCAGGACATGCCTGAAACACCTCCCCAGGGAGGCGTCCAGGAGGCATCCTGACCAGATGCCCAAACCACCTCAACTGACTCCTTTCGATCCGGAGGAGCAGCGGTTCTACTCCGAGTCCCTCCCGAATGTCCGAGCTCCTCACCCTATCTCCAAGGCTGAGCCCGGCCACCCTACGGAGGAAACTCATTTCGGCCGCTTGTATCCGCAATCTCATTCCTTCGGTCATTACCCAAAGCTCATGACTATAGGTGAGGATTGGGACGTAGATCGACCGGTAAATCGAGAGCCTGGCTTTCTGGCTCAGCTCCGTCTTCACCACGACAGATTGGCTCGGCGTCCGCATCACTGCAGACGCCAAACCAATCTGCCTGTCGATCTCCCGATCCCTCCTACCCTCACTCGTGAACAAGACCCCGAGATACTTAAACTCCTCCACTTGAGGTAGGACCTCTCTCCCGACCCGGAGTTGGCAAGCCACCCTTTTCCGGTCGATGTATTTATTAAAACGCTATACAGCTGTTAATCTGTGTCTCTGGAGCATGAAGCTGAAAATTCAGAAGTCTTTGTGCCACAGCTGCTGAAAGGAAACATCTGGAAGGTATTAGTTCACAGACACTCGGCAGTTGCAGGTCATGATGAGAATCGCAAACAGTGCAAATCTCAAGAATTGGGATGTTTACAACATTGGTTTTATAATGGCAACAATCAGCTAAGTCTGGCAGTTACTTTGTACTACCTGTTAGCTCATCAATCTGGTCAAGTTGAACTTTTTTCAGAGGCTGTTCGAGACATATTTACATGTAAAATATAAATTCTATATAAATCCATTTCATACTATCTGATCTTTTATTCTGATAAGATTTTTACTGCCGGTGAAACAATAGAGCAAACTCTTCATGTGAGCAATGCTGTATTAAAGGTGTGAAACACAGAAAAACCATTTTAATGATTATTTCTGATTACGATCAATCACTCTGAGGTTTTTCATGTCAGCTGAACATGACAACAGTCTCCTACACCTGCCTCCTGCATTAGCTTCTGATAGAAAATAGAGGGTGAAACTCTAGGATGAGAAAAGCCTGACAGATCTACGTCACACTAGCTGTTTTTACAGCACCACAGCGTTTGCAAAACGGGATTTGCCGCGACTCCCTGGGGAGGATTTTGGCAATAAAAGTAGCAAAGCTGAAGCTAGAATAAACTGACATCCGGCACCTCTCAAACCAAGACGGGATAAGACAAGACGCCCCGCTCAGCCAGTGTTTTCACCACTCTGTCGAACAGCTGGCTGTCTCTCACCATCCCCGTAAAAAGGCGACTAATCTGTTCGTCTGCTCGCACGCGTCAGTTATCTGTGTTTATATCCCTTCCGGCCGGCACTCGGCGCACAGGATATGTCACTAACGCGGCCACCCTCTTTTACGGACGGTCGCTCCAAAGGGATTAGCGGGGCTGACACGCGTTTAGCCGTCAGAGGCGAGGGGCTCATGCGGCAATATTACTATGAGGCTAAGCGCATCAGAATCGAGTTTTATCACCCTTCCCCTTTGCTCCTTGCCACATTCACGAGACCCACAAATACGGATTTATCACCCTGTAATGACGTGATGGTCTGTGTAGGGTTTGGTAAATTGAGTGCTTTAAGAGCTCAATATGTATATTACCTCTGCTTATGACCAATAAGCTGTGATACTATATCTAAATATAGAATATCAACCCTGCTTGGTCTTACTGTGTTTATCAGAATATTCTAGGATTCTTTATTTATTAGGGGATTGTAAACACTTCGTTTTGATTCAGAAAACAGTCAGGTTTATAAAAGTAAAAATTTCTTTTACCAACAATCAAAACATGACAAGTTACCTAAGCATTTACTGGGATGGATGGAACTAAATGTGATGTCTGAACCTATGTGTGAATGTGGTGTTAGTCAGAACTTCCGTATGTAGGAGAGCTGAGTTCTGGATGTAAAAGAACTTGGTTTGCGCTAAGCTATGAAGTTGATTATTATCAAAAGCACATCAGACGCAATCTGTCATGTCTACTTCACCCGTTTTCGGAGACCCTCTTTGTGGATCCAAAGTTCAGAGAGGTTGGATGACCTCTGGCACCGGAGGGCTGTAGAATACCGTGGCACCGACTCTTCAGTCCAGATATGTCTTGGGTCACGACAGATGGATGGAACCGCGCGTCTGGGACTCTTAAGGAGTCTAAACAATATCAGCTCGTTCTGCAGGAACTGTTTGCTTTATCAGCTTCGCGGGTGCAAAAAAGATTTTGACGACGTGTCAAAAGCTTTGATGGTCAAAGAGGTCTAGCTCCAGATGGCCGGTCTGAAGCTTTTCTCAAGAACTAATGAATCACCAGAGTGATCCAGTTTTAATGTTCTCATGTTATGATTGTGTAGCCAACCAGAGATTGACAAGTTTGAGGAATATTACCAAGAATCTCAGAAACACGCCTTCTTTGATACCGGATGCTCTGATCTGGGTAAAGGGCTATCTATGAGTCATGCGTTCAACTTAACTTTACTTTGTCCTTGTGTGAGTGCAAATGGTGATGACCTTGTCATGTCAACGTGCTGAAACAAATGTCGATCACTGTAATCATAACATAACATTCATTTCAAACTTCAGTCATTGAGCACAGTTTAATGAAACATTTCATTATATTATAATTATTATAAGTAGCAACAAACAAACGTTTGTTTAATGATTATCTAACTTATAAGTTGTAGAAGTTCATATCTGATTTAGGAAATCTGCGGGTGTTCACTTATTTAAAGGCATGAAGAATCCTGTAGGACGATAAGGGAAGCTGGACCTTGAGGAGAGAACATTATTGTTGACAATTCATTATCATGTGTTCAGAGCTGCAGAGAGGCTCTGAGCTCCAGCTGATGGAATGAAGGCAGGCTGATTTGAAGGGAACACATGCAGTCTCGTGTCTCCATCTTGACCAGATGTTGAATGGTCAAACAGTACCTAAAACTGACCATTGCTGAACGTTACAGTCTGTCTTATGAAAGAGGCTACTGTCACTTAACATTCATGGACTCACCCATCTTGACTAACGACGGGGAAGGCTGTTGTTGGTTTTAGCGTCCAGGAAACTGCAGAGAATGTCTCGGCTAGCAAAAGGTAACTGTTAGCATTAGCAACTCAACCACATGGCAGAAACTCCTCCAGCCTTGTGTTATTTGTGAAGATAAAACATCAAAAGTCACAGAGCAAACCGAGTTAGTGGCAGAGTCGCGTTGCTGTTATCCAATCCGAGGCATGATGTCCAAATATCGGGAAATACAACACATTTTCACACCCATCCTAACCTTAACACTCTTGTGCATGTAAAACTTTGTTCCTTGTTGTAAACGTCCCTCTCAAACAGGGTTAACGGGAAGTTTAGAACGAGTAACAGCGTTAAGGTTAGGATGGGGGTGAGGGGAAGGTTAAATAGCAACGGGTTAGAGGCTAAATGTTGCTGAAAAGTGCGCTTTACTGTGGGCATCGAAAACCGATGCCCTGGCACAGTGCGTCGCCTCCCAACGCGTCAGAAAAAAACGCTTGGTCACCCAGCATCATTTTTCGACGCTTCGGGTGTGAGAATGTGTTGGGAAATAAGATTCCAAATCCTGCCTCTCTCTGTTGCAGCAGACTTGTCCCTGCTGATCCTGGCGCTTCTGGGACTCATTACCCTGAGTAAAGCTTGCAAGGCATTCATTCCTACCAGAGACCGCTGCAAATGTGTTGTTTAAGCGAAAACATGGACGTAATTTTGGGGGTGAACAGGGGGGACATGCCCCCCACACACACACACA